TGAAGTAGGATTCTACTAAGTCAATTACACATGTCCAAGTACTGGGTTGTAGTTGTTTTTCTTCATAATACCTACATGTTTGAGTGAAATACAACAAATTAGGTATCATTGGAAAGAAAATTTTGTGCCCTTTCAAATAATATATCACTCGATCCCACTTTCCATTTGAAATTTTAGGGTTGTTACTCACCCTCGCTAGGGGGTTGAAAGCACAGGTAGAAAAATACATCTAAAATGTGTCCCCCTCAAAAGCAAAATTGACCTGTCCGAGCAAGGTGCATACTTTTAGTTGGACCACTCTGTATATCTTCGACATAGAATAGACGTAGACCATAAAGTCGAAGATTTCAATTTCTTTTTATTAATTATGCAACATATGCCAGTAAAACGTTTTCTGAAATGATCTTGTTAATGCGGTAATCCATATTTTTCACCATTGATTTTACAGGGGGTTTAATTCTCACTTATAAAAGTCATATTGTATTTCAGTAAGATAGGCATCACACTTAATTTTTGTGCTGATTAATAATTTAATGACACAGAGTACGATCAGAATTTTTGAGCCAAATGTACTCAAATGTACAAACAATCGGAAAAAATGATATGTTTCACATGGTTAGTTTTTTGCCTCGGCTTCGGCTCGCCGTGAATCTGTTACTTCTCTGTTTAGTTGAACAAATTAGATAAGATAGAAATTATATAGGTAAAAAACGTTCAGTTATTGAATATGAAAGAAAGGAATTCAACTCAAGACGGCGTTTGGAGAAATCAGGAAAGGATCAAACAAGTGAGTGTAGGTAGTGAATTTTATACCCTCAAACATCTCATTACCAGTAGAGTACACGAAGAAAATAGAGCTGTTACTATTGAAAAATGTGTTCCACGCCAATGAAATACCAAATCTTAGAATACTGTTTTATTGATGAGCATCACAAAACATAAAGTCTCCTGATTTGATAGTGTTTCTGAAGTATGATATTTTTGCCGTATTTATTTCACGGTCGTATTTACTTTATAATTACTTTCACTTCACTGCTTTTGAAAACACATTATGGATGTAGCTTAGTGTATACAACTGATTCGATTGTTTGATTTAAAATCAAGTCGCTACTCCAGTCGGCTTCGCATTAATAGTAGAACAGTTATACCCATTTTTTCTCTAATTGTGTCACATCAGCTTGTATATGATGAAGGTCCTCGTTTTTACCTGGAAAGCGTGCTTTTGAAAATATCAGGGTTAGAAATTTCTATAACAGTACAAAATATTTGAAAATATTTGAGAGCATTCCACAATATTCCGGAACATTTTGGAATGTTTGGGAGTGGTCTGGAACGTTCGGGAAAATCCCCTGTCATATATAGAAAATTCCCACCAGCTTCAGAATTCAAATTGAAAGTGTATATTTTTAGGAGATATTTATTTTTGAGGAAGAAAGACTTTAGCTCACTACTCAAACAATTTCGAAATAAACACCACAGAAAGATGTGTAATTCATGCATAGGAGTTACATTCAGATACAAACTGGAAGAAAGACCCCTCTCGAAACAACTATTTTCACATAAACACATACATTGTTTGTATCTGAAAGTAACTACTATGCACGATTTACATATCTGAAGAGTTCATTTCGAAATTAATTGCGTTCTTCTTTACTTTGTAAGTTTCCCATATATTTTGTATGAAGACGAAAGTAGAAAGCCAAAAACTTTCTTTTTCAATCTAATAATATTCCAGTACATTCGAACCCGTTATTTGTATGGGTTTTCATTTTATACGGCAGTGCCCGACACATCTTCCTTCCCATCATTGGACGTTGAAGTAATACTACTTCTCATCAAGATAACCATATTTTCCACCATCCTGTATGCATCCACTGCCCAGGTACATTGCGCAGAAACATACAGGTTTAAAGGTTTATTAACATCTGCTTGCGAAAGACCAGAGACCACCTCCCGTAGTCGCTATCCGGCGTCCGGTAAATGTAACAACACTTGAAACCAGATAAATACACACAAAATCTGGTATCTCTCCCACACACACACTTGCACCTTGGCATACGAACACACACATCCACCAACAGACATGCACAGGGGACCACCATGCAACCACTACATAATAGAGCCAGAAAACCAAACAATAACAGATAACGAGGAGTCGAAGCACCAGAGGCTGACTTGAAACCGAAAGAGACTAGATTTCAAACTAGCTAAAGTGCCTCGCCTTTAATAATGTTTGCCGCAGTTGCAGACGAAACCTCAGTTCCAAAAACCTACAGACCATTGCAAATAAACTCGAAATGCAAATAATCTGAAAGAAGGATAATATCTGACAATAAATGCAGTGAAAACTATGCAACCATGCAACATACGGTTCGAAATGCTGGGCTCTCAATTATATTTAATCAAAAAGTGCAACATGCTGAAGCAGTGCATAGACACCCTGGTGTAGTTTTAAAAATGAGCAATTTCCCCAATCACCAGAATTTCAACACTCTTTTTGACTCGCTTTTTAGTGAGCACGTTGGCGACTTCAGGAGATGAAGAAAACTCAGAAAATAGTTTTCTTCATTTATTAAGTGTAACATACGTCGAGAAGAGTATTGAAATTTTGATGTTTCACCTTTCAACCTGGTGATTACCAATTCGCTTTTATTTTGACAAAGTTACTGGATGTGGTGGAAAAGATTATCATAACTCTGTACATGAGTTGGTGTCATAATCAAAGTCAGGCTACATAATGAGTTATTCAAGTCGAAACTCTTTGCTATTGTCAGTACTCGTAACGCATCTAGACTAAATTTTCTATTCCAATGGGTGCAATAGAATGCCATTGCCTCTATAATTTGTGTGTTAATATGTTACTCACAGAATAATATTGCTATGGAAACGGGGATCATGAAAATGGCCAGTCCTTGACAAAGAACTCGCAAATCTGATCCTATTGAAACAACATTTTCACTATTCTTGACCAGTATTGGAGGAATCAAGAATGCCAAAGCCAATCCCGCTTGAGTACCTAAAACACCAAGGGCACAAGCAGTTGATGCCTGAAAATTAGAATCTAATGCTAATTCAAGTTCGTAAATCATTAAATAACAAAGAAAAATCGTGAGAATGAATTCGAATGTCCCTTAAAAAATAGAGATATGAATACTCAGAATACAATGAGGAAAAATAATAGCAGTTTTGAATCATTTTGATGAGACGTGGAGTTTTAGATGGTATCAAGATTGAAACTGAATAGTCTGCAATGTCGAGAGTATATGCAGTCACTGTTCAATTTGTCCATTTCATCATCCGCACATCCGCACACCCCCCTTTTTTTGCACCACCGGAACCTTCCGGGCCCTTCTTTTCGTGACAATTACTATCGAAGCTTCTTCTTCAAAATAATTCCAGGTAGTGTAACGAAATTAGCTTTCATCTTTGCGAGAACGTCTACTTACCTACCATTTACATGCCCTGCCTTTTTCAATGACCAGTTAATTTTTAGAGATTGTTCAAAATCTCAAATTATTTGAGACCTTCAATTCCTCTTCTCTTCGACGTCTGAATGATTGATTCTAGGGATGTATTGTCAAATGCGTCCTCTATATCCAAGAAAGCAGCTAAAAATCACTCTCTAGTTCTTGTAGGCATATTCTACTTCTTCCGTGATTCGGCATAAATCGGTTTCTGTCGACATACCTGATCTGTAGGCACATTGACTTGAAGTGGTCTGGCAGCCAGTGCTATGGCCCTAATATACCTGTCAAGTCGTTTTGCTGATGTATTCAATGTAAAAAACTGAGACTGTTTGTTCTCGAAGCCGTTACCTATTCCTGTTCAATATGTGTGATTGATGACCTGTTTATTTTGTGGAAATTCATGACCACTTTAATGAAATGAATAAAAACACTTTTGTCTAATTTCCACTAGTTATTTTATTTTTACAACCGGTTTCGGGTTTTACCCCATTATCAAGTATAAAACTAGTTTAAACTAGTTTTATACTTCCCAGGTTCTGGAGAGATTTGAGGTTCATAGGTTTTCACTATTAACAGTGAGAATGAAAATTAATTTTATCAGTGAGTTTTCATGTTTTTGGTATATATCACAAAGCCAAACTTCCTCTGAGGATTATACGCAATAAGTTAATCCTTCCTGACTATCAGTTATGAATTTGCCCAGAATGCCGGTATCATATTTGTAATTTCTGCACCTGGAGAAGCTCTCTTGAGATGTCTTCGTTTTGGAATAATTTATCATTATTTCTGGTCCCTGAAAAAGTATCTTATAGAGTCTGGCGCATACTTGGGTCCTCGCGTTGTCTTTTCCATGAGTGTCTCTCAGATTTCCACGAAAAAATTTGATATTCAGTTAGGGATCTTTTGTATTTATTCCAGATATCTGATTTGTTGGCTCTTCATTCACGGAGGAAACATTTTTGTTCGATCTCTGGTTGACAGTTTGAGAATGCTCATTCTATGTAGAGATGATAGCTTTCAGTAATCGGACTGCTGCTTACTCTAAGTCTATAGAATCTCTTATTACATAACCCATCCGGTCTGAACCAGTTTTGGGGTCTATCTTATAGGCTTCTCATTTTGTTTTTTGAAGGTTTTTATGAAATATAATCATGGCATGGAGGTATGAAACCCTCCGGTTTCAAAATTATTATGCCGATGATCTGAACAACTTTCCTAATCGGACACATTCCATTTCTCGACATAATTACTAATGAATTTAGAATATATCACTTTCCTACGTTTCGTGTTGTCTACGTTCGGAATGTCTAAATTGTTTGTGTGGTGTGAAGTGTAGTGAAAGCCCACCTCTTTCATTTGTGTCAGTACTCTTCCAGGTCAGGCGGTGAGTATCGGCAACACAGTCAATTATTAACTGTGATCTGACTGTTTGGCAGGTTCTCACTAGCTCGTCCGCATCCCTGGTTGGCGGCGTTTTCTGACCACCGTCAGGCATGTATGCTGGTCTAATGACGATTGCCTTAGGTCTTTCCTCACCAGCCACCTTCAGCCGTCAAATCCCAGTTCCAAAAGTTATTCAACGGCAGTATGTTTGATACTTCTCGTATGATCATGCATGTTCTTGGGGTCCCTGAGGTTACTTTGCAAATCAGCTCCCCACCGAATTTATTTCTATTCCATGATTTTTTCCTTATAGACCCAATGGTTTTTATATGTTACACCGTTGTTAGGACGCTTGAAGCCCCCTCACTGTGTAAGTTAACATGTATTACTCCCATTGCAAGTCAGAGGAGTCGCTCGGAGAGTCCTTCTTCCTCTGTTCATAGATATGTCCCATTACGTTCTCACGAGAACGGGAAAAACGATTGTTCACAGCCTTGGAACCCCCTGCATGGATGTAAAGTTGAATACTGAGATCAAATACTCAAATACTCCACCTCTAATGTTAGACTTTTCGTTGATGATGCCAGATAAGGCAGAGGTACCATTTACTTCGTCATGGTTCGCATTATATTACTGTTATATTTGAAAATTTATTGATTGTAACTCTCACAAGAAAGGAGTTGAATGTAGGGGTGAATTTCTCACTTCCTTGAACTTCATTTACACAATATTACCTTCATTGCGATTTCGAATAACACACTCTAAATGACATTGTTCATATCAATGGAGTCCATTATTCAGAAAAAAATCTTCTATTACCTCAGAATCTTCAAACCAGACTGCAGCAATTTTTGTGGGAATACATAAGACGAATACTTGAGCAGTTGATCCAATGGCTTGTCCTATTAGTACCACATAAAATAAATCTGTTCGTATAGAAAATACTTTGACAGCTGCAGCCAGGGCGGTTCCTAATCCCCCGATCAAAGCTGCTATTCGCAGACCCTAAAAATAAGGATTAAATGTGGTATTTTGTTTCAATTTCACGGCTTTCTGACATGAATCATTTGAAAAATCAAAAGTTATTTAAAAATCCATTCGACAAACAGAATATTTTTTTTCAGATCTGTTTTCGAAATCCAAGATTAAGACATCTCTGAAGAAGCGAGCTAGGTGTGCTAGCGAAACATCAGAAAGAAGTTCCACAGGACGATGTGGAACTTTTTTCTGATGTCTTTTGTCTTTTGAATTGTGGTGACGTTCGTGACGTTTCGAAAAATAATTTCATGACCCTTTGAATTCATCTGTTATGGAGTAGTCAGCTCTAAAAAGGTTGGACATTATTGAACTCTAATAAAAAAAATGTGGGAATTGAATTTTCCGCTACTTCTTTTTATTATATCACCATAGCTATAAAAACATATGAAATAGAAGTATACATATACTACAAAGCTTCACTCTTTTCAAAGTCATCACTCCTGTGATGAAACTTCCTTATGTTAGAAATATGAGCTGACTCTGGTCGTCCATCATAGTCGAAATTTACGAAGGCTACTATCGCATCGATGAAATGGACTCTTGTTATTTTTAATAGACCTTCTGTTATACAGGGTGTTCCTTAAACACATGCTAATATTTAAGGACGTAATTCTTAGACCCATTTTAAGGAAAAAACGTTCTATGGACGTATGTCCTAAACGCCTTAACATTTGAGATACAGGGTGGCAAAGTTTTCAAAAATAATCAGTTTTTTAATAATAACTGAGATAATTTTGTAGACATCTTTGGCATATTTGGTACATATGTTCCATGCCTCAAGGCGCATTTTCTGATGTACA